CGGGGCTCAGGCCGCCGCCCTCGTCCTCCGGGCCCCGCGCCGCGCCCTGGACGTGCCTCTCCCCCGCCGCGGCCGCGGCGAGCAGCTCCAGCTGCCGGCCGCAGCTCGCCACCAGCACGTCCAGGGCGCGCTGGCACTCCGCCGCCTGGCGCTGCAGCTCCGCGAGGGCCGCCTCCCGCGCCGCCGCCGCCCCGCGCGCGCGGCGGGCCGGCGGCGGCGAGGCGGGCGGCGAGGCGGGCGGCGGGGCCGCGGCCGGCCCCGCGGCCGCGCCGCCCGGAGCCGGCGGCCCGCCCGCCTCGCCGGGCGAGGCCGCCGGGCTCGCCCGCAGCATGGGGCCGCCCGCAGCGGCTATAGCCCGCTTTTTCGGCGGGCGGGGCGTGGGCGGCAGCTGGCCAGGGGGCTGCCTCGAGCTGTGGCCGTGGGCCGCAACGGCTGCGGAGTTCCTGGGGGCGAGGGGGAGGAGGAGGAGGAGGAGGAGGATGAGGAGGGGGGGGAGGAGGAGGAGGACGCAAAGAAGGGAAGGAGGAGGAGCAGGAGCAGGAGGAGGAGGAGGAGGAGGAGGAGGAGGAGGAGAAGGATTTCCTGTGGGCGTCCTGGGCCGCCTTTTGGGCGCCTCTGGGGGCCGTCCTCGGGGGGGGCGCGAGGGAGCGCGCGCGTGGCGCCCAGTCGTGCGCTCTTGCGCCCCCTCCCCTGGAGGCCCTCCTGCAAAGGGCGGCTGGCCCCTACAAAACGTGTCACTCCTCCTCCTCCTCCTCCTCCTCCTCCTCCTCCTCCTCCTCCCCCTGCCTCCTCCTCCTCCTCCTCCTCCTCCTCCTCCTCCTCCTCCTCCTCCTCCTCCTCCCCCACTTCTCCTCTTCCTCCTCCTCCTCCTCCTCCTCCTCCTCCTCCTCCTCCTCCACTTCTCCTCCTCGTAGCTCGCTCTTTCCGTCACCTGGGCTGGCACGAGAACGGAACGAGCGCTTCACAGGAATATGTAAGAGCAGAAGGAGGCCCGTACATCCACTAGAGAAACCCAGGGGAAATCAAGGCGTTTCGTCTCCGCAGGCCCTCTTCGTGATCTCTTTGGGCCTTCTTGGGGAGTCTCGGGGGCCCCTTGGCCCTTGCGCCGTCTTGAGGCTATAGTTGGTGTCTTGGAGCGCTCTTGGACTGCCTTAGGGCTCTCTTGGGCCCCTCTTGGGGGCAGTTGGGGGTATTTCAGGCCGTCTTGGAGGCCTCGTGGGAAGCCTGGGGAGCCGACTTGTTCGGGAGATGATGAATCCAACGGCCGATTCACTGTAAAATCTTATGGTGCGGACCAAATCGTACACTTGTTCTGGGGTAATCAAGGAAGCAATGCCGGCGAGGATATACGATGACGTTGTAGGCGTAAGAGCCAGGCGATGCAGGCTGCGGCTGCCATCCTGGACAATTGAGGGAGGTCAACTGCTTGGAGTGGCCGCGCTCGTCTCAGCGCGCACGCCTCTGGCCATCTAATCCCAGGTCCCAACTGGTCTTCAACTGCGCTGAATCCAACGGTTTGGCAAGAGTCTTGGAAAATGATGATGAAATAAAATCAGGGGGACGGACAATGAGAGGGAGGACGCGATGAGGATAAAGAGGAGGAATAGGAAGGAACAGGAACACGGACGAGAAATGATAAACAACAACAAATGGGAACCAACCGCAATCCTCGGTGTACGCTTTGCGATGTTGCCTCATTGTTCCCATTCCCGTACTTCCTCTTACGTATGATGTCCCCATTTCTCCACCTCGGCTACTTGTTCCTCGTCGTCTTCGCCTCTTGCCTCATCTTATTATTCCTCTTCTCCCTGCATCTACATGTCGCAGTCGTTTAATAGTTTCTTTTTCCGCCCGTCGCCCTCCTCCTTCTCGCACATCTGGGAACATAGGTGCCAATCGCTGCAAATTGCAAACACTTGTTTCTCGCGGCTGACGACGGACCAGCCTCGGAGCACGCGCACAGCTTTTATCGTACCAGGACTTGCGAGACAATATCTCGAACGGCGGCCATAACCCCATGCAAACAAAAAGGCCTGCGCAGCGCAATCCCGCCGGCCCTTTCGGGCGTGAGCTGCTCAAGGAATTCGTTCTTCCAACCCCTTGTTCTCCCCCTTCGGGAGAGGTTTTTCACTGCTTGTTGATTATGTCAACAAGCGTCCCTTCCCGCAGTCGGGACCAAGCGCCCCCCCCGTCAAGCGCCCCCCCATGGTCCACGCGGGCCCTCCCCCCCCCACAAGGTCCAGACTGGCAACCCCCCGTTGGCCAAGGTCCCGGCGGGCGTCGCCCCCCACCACCCGTGTCAAGAACAATCCAAGATGCACACTGTTGCGGCACAACCTCAGACCATCCGCGGGCGCCGCGCGGTCACATAGGTGTATATCCAACCAACCTGTGTTATTGGGTCCTCGTTTTGAAGAAACACCCCCCGCACCTTCCCCCTCGTGCTCCTCTCCTCCTCCCTTCTCCCCTCCGCGCCCCTGCCCTCCTGAGTACTCATCCATCTCAGCATGCCTCTCACAAGGCTCGTGGCTCCACGAGGAGCTCCAACAAATGCACCAGCGGCTGCGTTCGCATGCGGCTTCCCCCCACCGCGTATCCAGTTCGGCACACCCCTCACACGATTCATGTCTCAACAGAAACTCCAAGGAAGGCCTCAGCGGCTGCGTTCGCATGCGCCCCCCGCCCATAACATGTCGATTTCGGCGCACCCTTCACACGTGTCATGACTAAACAAGGAACTCCGCCGAAGACCCCAGCGACTGCGTTCGCAGGCGGCTCCCTGCCTACCGCATACCCATGTCGGCACGCCTCTCACACGCTTCGTGACCCCGTACGGAGCTCAACTGAAGGCCACAGTGGCTGCATGCGGCTCCCCGCCCACCGCATGTCGATCCTGGCACCCACACCCACACCCACACCCACAGCCACACAGACACAGGCACAGACACAGGCACAGGCACAGACACACACACACACACACACACACACACAAAAAAAAAAAAAAACATTGGAGGCCTGGAAATGGGCACCAACACCAACACAGGGGGGTGCCTCCACAGGGGGAAGATAATCCTGGAGTTCGGTGTTGGTGGTTATATTTCGGCCACCTTGGCAGCCAGAATATTACCGCCATCGCCGAGATCGGGATCTTTTTCCCTCGGTGGAGGCCCACCGCCGATATCGGTGTTGGTGTCAACCTCTAGGCCTGCGAAAACACACACACACGCACACACGCACACACACGCACACACACACACACACACACGCACACACACACACACGCACACACACACACACACACACACACGCCTCACGAGCTTCGTAGCCCCACATTGGGGACTCCACCGCAGGCTCCCGTGGCTGCGCTCGCACGCGGCTCCCCACCCTCCGCGCGTCGAGGCGGGCACGCGCCCCTCACGCGCTTCGCGGCCCTGCACGGCACCCCGGTAAGAGGCCCCGGTGGCTGCCTTCGCACGCGGCTCCCTGCCAGCCACCGCGTGTTCCTTTCGGCACACCCCTCACGCGCTCCGTGGCCCAACAGGGGGCTCCGACGACGGCAGCAGTGGCTGCGTTTGCATGCCCCCACCCCATTCCGCCCCATCCCCCCCCCCGCGCACCCCCACCCAACCCACCTGCCGCATGCCCATTTCGGCACACCGCTCAACCGGATGGTGGCCTCCTGGGAAGCTCCACCGATGGCCCCAGTGGCTGTGTTCGCACGCGGCTCCCCGCCCTCAGCATGCCCATTTCGGCAAAACCCTTACGCGCTTCGTGGCCCCATGGGAAGCTCCACCGAAAGTCCCAGTGGTTGAAATCGCATGCGGCTCCTCCGCACCGCATGTCCATGACGGTACACCCCTCACACGATTTCGTGGCCCCATGGAGCCTTCCATCTCCTTCGGCCCAGCTGCTTTTCAGTTCTCACAGCTACGCGTGCATGGCCGGGCCAATCGCCAAGCTAACTTGAAATTGATGGTGTGCTTGTGTGTATGTGTGTGGGTGGGTGAGAGGGCGGGCGGGGTGGGGTGGGCTCATCTTGTCATGATGGGGGTGGATGTGTTTCCTGATGTGCGCTACCACGTGCACTGGCGCACTTGGCACGCTCCCCGCTCGACGCGGACGTAACGCCCCTGGCGAGGCTCGAGCAGGTGGCGCTATTGGCGAGCGTGGACAAGGGGGGGGGGGGGGCATCTGGCGCACCCGGCGCGCCTGGTACGCTGAGGGCCCCCGGGGAGCCTGACTTACCTGGGAAGCGTGGTGCGCTCAGTGAGGAACGCGGCATCCGCTGCGACGTCATACATTGAAATCCACGTCTGTTGTTCGACTGCAGTTCGAGATGTGTCGACGCGTCGCTCTTGATGGAGCAGCCGCCAGAATGGGCGACGGTGTTCTGCATGGCTGAGAAAAGCGGGTGCTAATCAGTTAGCGCGGGAGAATCACAGCCGGAGGCTTTCAAACAGAACTCTAGGTAGCCAGAACGGCTCTTGGGCCAAAACTGCTTGAGCCAAAATGGCTACGGAACCGTCTTGAGACCATCCTGGGCCATCTTGGAATGCTCTCGGGCGGGCTTCGGCTCTCTTGGAGCGCTCTTGGGCCGTCTTGGAGCCGCCTGGGACCTCTCTGGGGCCGCTCTTTTGGGGTATCCTGGGCCGTCTTGGGCGCCTCTGGGGCCGTCCTGGGGCCGGGCGGGCGTGTGTACGCCGCGGCGTGTGCCCGTGGCCCCTCCCCTCGAGCCCCTCCCTAGAGGGGGGAGGAGAAGGAGGAGGAGGAGGAGGAGGAGGAGGAGGACGAGGAGGACGAGGACGAGGAGGAGGACGAGGAGGAGGAGGCTTCGCCCCACCAACACGGCGTCACTCCCACCTCGCTCTGTCCGTCACCCCACAGAGTAGGTTCGGATGCTTTGGCGCTGGGCATTCGCACGCGAGGGTAGACTGGAGCAGGGGCAATGAAGGCAGTACGGAGCCAACAAGGCGGTGTACAACTACCCCCCCCCTTCGTACTCACAGAGATCTGCATCAGGCAAGCCGTGACGATAAGCAAGATCCACGACTCCTGGGGATGCTGGGCTTAACGCAGGAACCAACCGCAAAATGATCAGCTCAGGCATTCTCCTGACACCATCATCGACATGTTACTCGAACCACACCCTCGCGATTCCCCCCTCGGTCCCTCCATCCGCCCCCTTCTCCCCCTCCTTCCTCCTACTGCCCGCTCCTCCACTCCAGCCCAGCCTCCTCGCCCACTTCCCCTCCTTCTGCCCCTCAGGCGTCGCGCATACTAAGACAATCGCTTGCATTGCCCAACGTGCGCCTTCTTCGAACGGACGGGCGGACGCTCGCATGCGTGCCCAGGCGCGGCCCCGCTGGGAACGGAGCGGTGGCGGCATGGCACCGAACATGCGAGACATAGCTCGAGCGAAAGTTATAGCAACGCCGCGCGATCGTAATGCATGACTGAATGGGGAAGCAGGCACAACGCAGACGCGAGAACCAGAACCATACAAATGTAGCGCAGCCTTCTGCAAGGTGGGGGAGCAAGCGACATCTCTACGTACATCGCTTTGTGCCTCTTGCTCCTGCCCACCAAGCCAGATTCAACTATCCCCAACCGCCGTGTCCAGACCCACAACCTCCATGTGGAACCAATCGCCACTTGGCCAGAAGCTCCTTATGGTCGACGAGCGGACGGGGGGGATCAGCGGTCAGCGGCGGCACACTCTCTGCTTCAGATCGACTGGGCTGACGTTGCTTGCGATCCATCAGCTCAGCACACTCTCACATTGAGGGGAACTTTGGGGGGTGCTGGCTGAGGGGAAGGCATCGGGCTCGAATCGGCGACACATCGCCGATAGACCCGCGATGGGCCCCCGACATCGAGCACGCACCACCCTTGGCGCGATGGGCTGCCGGGCCCCGTCGAGCAATGAATGGCCGATTGGTGGCTGATGCATCCCCCCCTGAGCCTCTCCGCCCCCCCTCCCCCCCCGTGCCCCTCACACATGCGGAGGAAGAGGAGGAGGAGGAGGAGGAGGAGGAGGAGGAGGAGGAGGAGGAGGAGGAGTTGGTGGTGGTCCTCTCTCCAGCTCCACACCTGCCCTCCCCTTGCCCTCCTGCCCCCTCCCGGGCGGAAGCGCGCTGGGGCGTTCCCTGGACGCGTTGGGCGCGTAGTGGTCCACCAGCGTGTAGAGCCTGGGGGCAGGGGCGCAGCCAAGGAGGAACAACCAGCCGGCGAGGAGAGCTGCAGTGCTATCGCAGGGAAGCGCGTATTCAGGAACGAACGGGTCACGGCGAGCCTCGGCCACGAAAAAAAGACTACAGATCTAGACCTAAGGACCAGCTCGAATCCTCAGGCCCCTCTTGACCCCTACATGGACCTTACTGTGGCACCGCAACCGTACACGAGGTCAGGAGGGGAAGAGCGGATAACGCGCGCGAGGGAGGAGAGAGAAGGGAAGCACCAGTGACGCACATCACATGCCACTGCTGCGTTGCACGGATGGCTCGCGCTGGCTAGTGGGAGCCATGGCGTCAAGGCGAACGTAAGGTCGGATTCTTGGGAGAATGCAAAGCACTACTGGACCTTACCGAGTGAGCCATTCGATCACGTACTGCGCGCATTCCAGCTTATGGGGAAAATAGCTCCCATGTGGGACGCTGCTGGAAATCATTCAGCATTCACGCGACCTCATCGAACAGCAAACCCGTGCTCGCAGATTGCTATGTGGAGCACGATACGACGTCCATGCTGGATAGGCCCATTCAACAGAACATACTCATGTATGTAGGTGCAGGTTTATGTCTGTGCAGGATCCCCAAACAATGCTTGCACTTCAGGGGTTCTTACTTCTCCTCTGGGAGACTGGGCATGTGCGCAGCCTCGGCGGCCCTGTTCCCGTCCGTCGGTCGCCGTACCGTGGCTCCAAAGAGAAAGCCAGTGTGCGGATCTGGCGGCCCGTTCCCGTCCGTCGCCGCCGCTTCTCCGCACGCCCCCTGGAGTTGCAATCGCGCTGCACTGCAATCGCATTGCGTTGACCTGCTCTCCACCGCTTAGCACCCGCGCTGCACTGCAATCGCAATGCGCTGCATTGCAATCGCATGGCATTGCATTGCGATGCATTGGTTTGAATCGCGTTGCATCGCTGTGCGGTGCTGTGGGTTGCCTTGCATTGCATTGCTCTGTATTGCATTTCATTGCATTGATGTGGATTGTGTTGCATTGTCGCGTTGCTTGGCACCGCAAAGACTGCGCCATACGGATTCACGACCTAGATTGCACCAGACTGATAGTACCGCATCGATATCACGAACGAAATCAATATGCGAGGCCCAAACTGTCTGATCTACCTGTATATGTATATACCAATATGTAAAACTAATATCCGTGCAACCCTGGCAGTATGAGGCGTCATCGAATGGCAAGTGCTTGCTGGCTGCATGACAAGGTTTCTGTAGTCTTCAACTTCCCCACCTCCCCATTCTCGCGGACCGCTGCATGCACACACCCCCTCGGGGCCACGTTGCCTCGAACCAAAAACAACTATAGGTCCGCGCTCCCGGCTTAAGACGACCCAGACAGGCAACCACGGCAACCAAGATGGCCCAATCGGCTTCCAAGACGCCCCGTAAGGGTCCCCAGGCGGCCCAAGATGGACCCACCACGGCCCAAGATGCCTCCAAGAGGACCCCAAGACTGCCCACGAAGACACCATGATGGCCACAACCCCCCCAAGACCGTCCCAAGACGGCCAAACGTGCCTCGGGAGAGACCCGCGACGGCCACGAACACCCTTCGGCGGCCCAATGCCCCACGGCGGACAGCGAACCCCAATACTACCCGAACGAACCAAAGTGAATGCCAACAAAATCCAAATACGGCCACCCTGTAAGCTACAGACTGCTCCGCAGCAGCCCAAGGCAGCCAACATATGTCCAAAATGAACTCCATCAGAGCTCCTCAACAAGTGAATATGAAGGGTGTCAAACGTGACTGCCTTCCACATCATCACCCTCCTCCTCCTGCTGCTGATCCTCCTCCTCCTCCTCCTCCTCCTCATGCTGTTCCGCCTCCTCACCGTCCTCAAGCTCAAGAAAAAAAAGCGCACCAGGACCTAGAGGGTGGTCTTCCAGGCTCTCAGGCTTGATTGGACAACAAAGAAAACGAACGAACGAACGAACGCTGAATACGGGCCGCGCGCGCGGCCGCGTGCTCTTACGGGCTCAGCGGAAATTGATCGGACCATCTCGTAAGAAGATGTCCGCGTGCTCTGCGCCCGTCTGGGATCCAGTCGTGGATTCGCCGGGCCCACCGGTCGAAACTCATATCTTTGAATCTCTCGCCCCGGCGCTGTAACCGAGATCTGCGCTCTGTCCAGATCGGTACGTCGTGGTGCTTCATGACTTGCCGCGCCTTCATTGTCACGCGCCGTGCCCAATCCACCCGTGTCTCCACGTCCCCGTCTGGCTTATACTTGCGCCCCCGCCCCAGCATAGCCCGTACCACTTCAAATTGTGTCCCCTTCAGTTTTGAATCTCGTTCCACTGTCAGTACCCAGCTGCCACAACCATACAGCGCTGTCGGTGTCACCACGGAATGGAAGAGCTGCATGCGAAGATCGAGCGGCAGTGTTTTGTCAGCTCGATTCCATCGGCCCCATTACTTCTATCTGCATGCCATCAACAACGGCCAATCTGACCTTACTGCCGTAACCAGTTCCAATGTGCTGAATATGCGTCCTTTCTGGGTGTAGCTCCAGCCCGGCCTTAGCACCTTCACGCTTCACGTCCGCGATCATTCTCATGATTTGTGGCAGCGAGCAGCCCACGAGCAAAATGTCATCTGCAAACCTCAAGTTGGTAAGCACGGAATGTCCACTGTAGCCAAGCTGCACGCCGTACCTTTTGGCCGCCCAATGCATGTTTACCCCGTGCATCACCTCCTCGAGTACGCAATTGAAAATGATTGGGCTTATGGGGTCGCCTTGTTTCACTCCCCGTAAAATGTCAAAGTCTCAGCTCAACGCGTCGCAACTGACATGCGCCCGCTGTCCGGAACATAGCAGGGATAGCATGCGCACGTAGACGGACGGTACTCCGCGAGCCACCAACGATTCCCAGATGCTCGAGTGACATATGGAATCGAAAGACTTCTTAAAGTCCAGCGTTGCAATCCATAACGGTAAGTTGAACTCGTTGCACTTCTCTGCTAACAAAGCGACTGCGAAAATATGATCGTCACAGCTGAAACCTGGTGCACAACCGGCTTGATCGACAAACTGCTCCGCGAAGAACCTGTCTTTGGTTCTTCCGCACTTTTACGTTGCTGAAAAACTCTGTGCAACATCGAAATCATGCAGATGGGCCCGTAGTTCCCCGGTAAACGCTCGCCCCCTTTCTTGAAGAGTACTCTGATTGAAGATGTCTTCCATTAACTTGGCACAGTAGCTCCCGGGCCCAATGCAGCCGTGAACACGTCTGCTATCATTTGCATCGACAAGTCGCCCCCTTCGCGAAGTAGCTCAACCACCAGGCCATTCTCATCTGCAGCCTTTCCCGCGCGCATCGTCATCAGCTGGCGTCGTACTTCCTCCGGCGCGGCAGTCGCGGCGCGATCGCAAATGCCGCCTGATTGATACGAGTCGCTCTCGCCATGGTATACATATTCGAAGAACACAGCAAATACTTCAGCGATATCTCGTGCCTGCGTCTGCCCGGCGCCCCCAGCGTCAAAGACGGAAGACATGTAAAACTTATTCCCAGTATTGCGCGTGCCTTGGATCCGCTGCAAATCTTCGAACTCCTGTAGAACTCGAGTTATCCCGGCGCTCTTCCGCGCCTTGGCCTTCGCGCAAATTGCTTCGCGCGCGAGTTTGCTCGCAATCTTCGCGCCATTTTTGCCCCCCACCTGCATTGCGGACCGCCGCTTCGCAATCAAAGTGCGTCGCTGATTCCGCGCCGCCTCGCCCTCTCGAGCCTGGAGCTGTTCCTTTTCATCGCGGGCCTCCGCGGCGTCCAAGAATGCACTTCCAATATGGCGGCATCTCTCCTCGATCCGGGTCGTCGGGCCGGCATGCTCGATCAGTGATAGGGCGCCAATAATGCATCCAGCAGGTTCTGGCACCCCCCCTGGTCTCTCGGCCTCCATTTCCGGAGGCTTCGCTTTGAAGACCGCCGATTATTGTTCAAGTCCTCTGCAGGCTGGGAACTCCATCTGAACGTGACCTTGAGTGCGCGGTGGTCCTGTCCAGGAATCGCATCGTTGCTCGCCCCGGCGCCCCCGACGGCATGCGTCCGTTGTGCATCCAACAAATCATACTCCAGCGTGCGCTTGGTGCCGTCGTTCTGGCACGCCCACTGCTCTTCGAAATTATTCTCGATCATCGTGCTCGCGATGGCTAGCTCCAGCGCAGTTGCCCGCCCCAGTAACCAATGGCCCCTGTCGCTCTTGCATCCCACGCCGCATCTTCCAACGGTGCGCTCGTCATCTCCAGTGCTGCGCGCGCCTACTGTAGCGTTCTAGTCCCCGAGTAGCACGCGCATTATTTTTGCCCTCCGGGCCCCTTGCATCAAACGGTCAGGTTGCAAATGAGTCCCCTCTACGTCCTCGTCGCCATGCCCCCCACGCGGCATATAGACACAAATGAATCGGACATTTCTGTTGCACATGCGAAGGTCCACTGCGCAAGCCCTGTCGGATGGCGGGTGGAAGTCGGGAAATCCCCGCGCCCAGCGCTTCTGCAATAAAATCCCCGTCCCGCTGCGTCCTCGCAAACCTCCAGAACCACACAACCTATGACCATCCGCGACCCTCCATCTGTCCTGTCTCATCTCCAGCCACGTCTCGGCAAGTAAACCAACATCCCATCCGACACTCTGCATCTCTATAAACAACTCTTCCTCCCGAAACGTGGTTTGCAATGAACGCGAACAAACTATCCGTTATTGCACTCACTTGCGACACGTGCGCCGCAGAGTCTGTCCTGGCCGTCGTCGCCTGCCCCTTGAGGGCCGGAATATGAAAATGACAAGGGCGTCTCCATAAGCATCGCAATACTTCCCCCCCCCGCGCGATTTGAAAACGTGTTGACCTTGATGAAGCTGTTCTCGCACAGGTAGACGTCCTCCTCCATATTCCCCCCCTCTCCTTGTCTCTGGTCCGCGCCGAATGGCGCTCGATGGCCACTCGCCGTCGG